AGCTGGCAGGGGAAGGGCCGCAGGCCGGTGTGGATGTTGCAGTGCCGCCGCAGGTGGCTGGACCGCTTGAAGGTCTTGCCGCAGTCCTTGCACTCGTGTGGCTTCAGCTCGGAGTGCGAGATGCTATGGCGCTCCAGGTCCGAGAGGTAGGGGAAGGCCCGCAGGCACACGGGGCAGAAGTGCGGGGTCTTCTTGGGGCCCGAGCCCTCGGGCCCGTCAGCCAAGGCCCCTTCTGAGACGGTATAGGGCACACCCTGATCATCGATCAGCAGGAGGTCGTTGCCATCCCGGCCGCTGCCCACCGGGGCTGTCACCCCCTGTGCCGGCGGGGGCTCCTGCCCTGACTTGGGGGGGCGGCCTCGTTTGCGAGGGGGGCAGGCCTTGAGTGTCTGATTGGAGGAGGAGCCCCCTCCCGGACGCTCACCCTGGCGGCCCCGGGGGACAGAAGAAGGTAAGGCCAGAGGTTTCTCTTCCTCCCCAGGCAAAGGCGAAGGCAACGGGTCTGGGCTGGGGGTGTCCATTGAGCAGTGGAGGACTTGGGTCTGGGTACTGGAGCCGGGCTACGAGGAGAAAGGGGGCAGCCGTCAGTGCAGGGTAGGTCTGGAGCACCCCTGGTTCCCTGAGACCTCGCCCATCCCTCTGTCTGGGCCTCGCGACCTGGGCATGGCTGACATTCACCTGGACGCACAACGGTAGCCACGCTGGGGAGTAAAAGGACAGGATAATTCTGTGCCAGCTGGTAAACAGGCACTGCCCTGAGACCCAGACACGTGCCCCGGGCCTCCCTCACCCCTGCCACGGATCATGAAGTTCAAGGTCAATTTGAGCCAAAATAAAGAAAAATCTTCAGGGGAGGAGAGAGTCCAACTGAGGGTACAGGCCAGTGCTGTGATCCTCAAGGCAGAGCGCCCAGCAAACTCCAGGGCTACAGAAGCCTGTCCGCGCTCTTGATCGCAGAAGTGGGAGGGCCGGGGCAGGACCGGAAGCAAGGCCGTGCTCCCAGGTGGTGTCTGACCCCCAGCGGCAGGAGAGGAAACACACGGGAGTGTAGTCTCCGGAGGCAGATGTGCTGGGTTTCATTCCTGAGTCTGTCCTTTTCGGGGCCTCAGTTAAGCCTTCTGCACAATAGGCCGGAGTTCCACCGCCTCCCGGGGACATGCCATGAGGATGATTCACACAAACCGCTCAGGACACAGAGCATCGGGAGACATCAGCCCTCTGAGAAGGTCACAACCACCCTCACTTGGCAAATGGAGAAACCCGGGCGCAGGGGAGCCATGCCAGCTGCCCAAGCTCCCACCTCTAGGAAGTGGCCGGGCCAAGATTCGGACACAATGGCCAGGCAGGGAGTGAGAAGAAAGGGACTCAGGGGCCTAGGGGGCATCCTGGGGTCCCGCTGGTCCCGGGAAATGGACATACCAGGGCTGTCCGATGACACATAGTAAGGACACAATAAACCACCGCCACCACCAGCATCATCATCAGAGCTGGGGTGTCCCCAACTGGAGGGAGGGGGGAGCACAGGTGCAGTTAGGAGCAGGGGCTGCAGATGTCACTGCGACCCAGTGGAACAGGCACACAGATGGCGGGCAACCGCTTCTCCAGAATCACATGGTGCGCTCCGGGGAGGGGACTGGCCTGGAGGACAACCACTGCCTTTGGGGTGGGGTGGTGTCCCAACCCTCGCCCACCGCCAGCCCGGAGCGCGAGGGGGGGGGTAGGGGGGGTAGGGG